CCCCCCCCCCCCCCCCCTCTATCCGTGCCGTCCCTTGCCCCCCCTCTCTGTCCCAACCTCTACACTGGGACGAATCATCACGCGTGTCCTCTAACAAAAAAAAAAGTCTCCGAGGTTCCTGCTCTCGGTGACCAGGGCCGCAATGTCGTCCCCCGGCCCCGACGGCGAAGCAAAGAACGCCGCAGACACGGTGGAAACCCTGGCGAGGGAGGCCGGCCTCTCCCCTTCCCTTCGAGCGGCCGTCGCCAAGGCTGCCGCCGGGGGCGAGGTAAGGATTAGAGGGGCCGTAGTTGCTGTTCGCCCACAACACCGTCTTGTGGGGAGCGTATGAGTTTCAAGCTTTTTGGCAGGCACGATTCCAGGTCCCAGAGGGAGTATTTGTTGGCTGTGTAGCCCCCCCGATCGGGTCTGCTCAGTTGAGAGGGCAAATGGTTTTGTGCGGTTAGGTTGGTGGGATTTTGTGAGTGGCGATTGATAGATGGGATGGCCACCTGCAGCTAAGATTGAAGCATCAAACACGCGTGCAGATGTACCATCATTTTGCAAAGCGATTTGACGACATGGTGGATAGTAGCCCTTACCTTCTGCTGCTGCTGCTACTGCTGCTACTGCTGTTGCTACTGCTGCTGCTGCTGCTCAGGCATCATCGTCCGCGAGGAGAAGAAGAATGGCGAGGCTCGCGAGGAGCGTTGCCGGCACCGCGAGGGGGGAGTCCTGCGCTCTGGTGAACGGAAGAAGGTACAGGCACCTTCCGGACCAAACCAAACCAATGCCGTCCACACCGCTTGCTTTTTCTTTGGATGATGTTCATCAAGTTTCCGTAGGAGAGGAGCCACACTGTTTTATTTCTTTCGATGATGGTGTTAATCGAGTCTCAGTAGGGGAGTAGTGTTCGGGAGCGTTGAAACTCTGCGTCTGCTCCGTGTGGGGTCGGAAGCACCTGCTCTTTTCCGTTTGTTTATTAGAGTGATGTCCTCAGGGCCCGCGCTTCGCCCGACCGAATCGATCCATCGGGTTCTCGTGGACTGGCGTGCTTCTGGTCCGAGATGGTTCCACATTCGTGAGAACACCTGCTCTCCCCTTTGACGATTAAGGAGAATACGACACGACCAGAGGTTGATTAGTCTTCTGAATCGTGCTCTACACCCGCGATTTTTGAGTCCACTCGGTGTCGGTTGTGGTATCAATCAACACGGACACGTTTCACAATGCCGTCATTTTTTTTCTGTCGCTATGAATCAGACCAGTTGCTGTTTGTGCGCCGGTCACGGGCCACGGTTTCAGACACGGGAGATGCCACGACACTACAATATATGGCCGTTGGTTTGTCTTGGTTGGTATCTATATCCCCTCCC